GAGGCTTTAAAAGAAAACGGGAGGCACAGTCTCATAAAGGATGTGATTATCTACAACTTTTATCTAAAATTTTTTTGTCTAAAATAGCTTATAATGGAGTTATGGACAATTTTTAAAATAGCCGAATTTTGTTTTTTTCGAAATATCTAGTAAGCCTTGCAGTTTTTCAAAAATCTGAAAGGCGCATATTTATGACCCCACAAAACTGCAATTCTTTCCCCATTTAACCGAATCTCGTTTCCGAGATATCCATAGAGAACATTGTAGGAAACTCACCCTGTATGTGTGTTGATTTGGACCAAAAGCAAGGGCATGCTTTTAATGCTAAGATGTTTAAATTAAGATTAATCGTTACTCCCTTTTTCAAAAGCGAATATCTCTAATGAAAATGAAGCTATTGAAAGTCACCAAAGCCACCTCGCCATTATGAAGAATAACAAAAAATAAGATAACTGAAAAAATTGCAAAACATTTGTGGCAAGTTCATTGTGCTCTTAAAAATTAACCAAGGCATGTGCTGCCATGAGTCAAAAAACAAAATATTTAAGAGACATGGTTCTGGCCGAAAAATAGTGTTTTAGGAAAATTTCCTAACAAAATTATTCCACAGGGTGTTTTAAAGATAGGGTAAAAAACAACTCTTCGATTAAGCCTGTATAATAACTAAAATACTAAAGTTTATAATAAACTGAGTTTACAAATTAAAGTTGATATATTTATATACAGTTTGTTCAAAAAATCAAGGAAATAGGGCTAAAATAAAAAAAATATAACACCTTCAACTTTATGAAAAAAATTTCCGTTGCGTTTTTTTTTGCATCGGGGTATAGATAGATGAGGAATTTTAATTTAAAAAATGTTATAAAAATATATGTAAAATTAAATAACTTAGTTACATATTGATTAAAGAATCATTAAAATTGGTCGACTAGAACAAAATAAATTAAACTTTGAAATATATGAAAGTTTAAAAATATCAGAAATATATCATTTTTGCATTCGATTGGTACTTTATATAATTTTTTTTGTTGTTATTCGGTGTTCGTTGGCTTTCCGTGGGCCACAATGGATCTAAGTATTTCATTTTAAGCGATATTTTTATATTATACTGTATTCCTTTCATTCTCATAAAATAAAATAAAGTAACTTTTTTCAAGAAATAAATCCGCCTGAAAAATATATTAAACATTAATTCTTATTCAAATTGTCAGACACAAAAAAAATTATTCAGCATAGAAAACTTACAATTATTATTCTAAGCAATGTTCAATAACTAAACTTATTTTAACTGAAAGTCCTAAACGCGTCTGTCGGAAACTTTCCCGTAAACGGTGAGCGGATTCTCCTGAAAGGGGACTGGATATGGTCCAGTCTGGAAGCGCGCACGAGAGCGGCTCCACGGCAACTGCAGACTCCCGAATCGCGGTCTCATCGTCAGAAATTTAAGCAAGCGCGTCATATAGGACGAATTTTTGAGACTAGGAAGTCGCTAGATAATTTGGTTGCGGTCATAGACAATAAGTTGTTATATAACCCAGTGAGCAAAGTTTTGTCACATTTAGGGAACAGTTACGTATCTGCGTTTTATTTCTTCATATCTGGTAACGTAACAACGACGTCACCTAGAACACATTTCCCTTAAAGGAATAAAATGTTCACTGGGAAAGGACTATGCCATCAACAAACTCTTTTGTTTTCCGTGTTTTAATAAATAGATGCTTATTTTGAATGGCCTTAAAGTGACAAAGTTTGCTGTTGGGGTACTTTTGGCAATATAGCCTTTACAACAACCTAGAAGCATTATTTTTAAAAAAATAAAAGAATTAATTTACTCTCAAGATTAAGGATAGTTGATTCACGGAAAACAAATGCAAGCTACTCGTATATGTATGAGGAAGCCTAAAATAATAAGTATTATGTCACGCCGTTATAAAAATAGTGAGTGTGCTGCTGCTTTGATTACCAAATGTTAAAAGAATTAAAAAAAAGAACTAGTACATACTCACTTAAATGAATAGTTGGACATGATCGAGGCTAGATTAAGAGAAGATATAATATTTTCGAAAAAAGCTGTGCTGTCTTCCACTCTTGATAACAACCTGCTCTGTCTGCACTTACAAGACTTAAAACACTTCTTACTTACAAGTTGAAGATACTTTTTTGCTTAAGATGATGATTTCACAGTGAGTTTCTCCCTGTCGTCAGTGATAGCGAACACACCGGGTGTTTCTCAAAAGTGACTCTCTCCTATAACTTTTTTATTTTTTCAGATAAAAAAACGAGATTTGGTATGTTAGTATATGACAAAAATTAGGTTTGATTGACTTATTCAATTGTTTTTGATCACTTTCTCTTTGACCGGAAATTACTATAACTTTTGATTTTTAAATGGCACCCTCGGTTTTTTTTTTAATTTATATGACACACTGAATAGATTGACATAGCACATGTCAACTTGTGCAATTTTTGACATTATATTTTAAATTTCAATCTAGAGTGACAGCTAATCTCTCTACCATAGCTCTGCTATAGTCTAATATTTTTCGTGCCTGGTCCTGGCCGGTTAAAAGATGCCCAAATCGTATTTTTAATCATATCTCTTTTTTTTCAAATGAAACGAGAGTGGGTCATTAGCATATCTAGAAAAATATTTTTTTGTCAATTAATTTGATACGACACACTTGTTATTCCGGGTCAAATTGTCGTTATGAACCGCATGTTACAATTTAAAATAAACTATATGCGGAAATGTCAAAAGCTTACATATGAAAAGTTTACATTGCATTCTTTTTCAGACTCATTTCTATATAAATAAAAAATTCCGAGGGTGTCATTTAAAAAGCAAAAAAAGTTGTAGTAATTTTTGGTGAAACAGGAATTTTTTTTTTTAATTTTATTCCTGAATTTGACCTGTACTAATTTCTAAAGCTACTGTGAACAGAAATATTACCCGGTCGAATTTTAAATAAAAAAAACTAGCTGCAGAAAAACGTGAAAATATTTTTATATACCCTTATTTCATCGACACTATTCCAACGAAGACTACTACATATCCTAGCTAAAAACTAGTTCAAAACCCAATAATTAAATTTGAAATCCCAGCCTGAAACCCTACAGCGGCGATCCAGAACACAGCCAAAGCAATTCCCCCTAACCTAAATAGTGTAATACCGAGTAGTATATACGGAACATTACAAAACCGCTCCAGCTTAATATCATCCTTTTTTGTTCTTTTTCTGGTTTTAAAACGAAAGTTTATTAATATTAACTTTAGTTTAAGTGGTTCGGAAGTACAGGGTGACGCCTCTCATACGCCGCTGAGACTCGGTTAAGGAGAACGACAGTTTGTATTGATGTTCGGCAGGGTATCGCCAAAAAAAGGGACACGTCAAAGTTTTGGTTTTGGTAATAGAACATTCTATATATTAATGGATTTTTGGATTTTAGGGAAAAAATAACGAAAAACGTGAGTTTCGTTAAAGAAGTATATGACTAAAATGTATGATTTTTGACATATGTCTAATATTGTCTAAAACTGAAGTATAAATTTTAAATTTCAATAAAAACTACATAAACTTGAATTTACCCTGAATAGCTTAATATTTAGTCAAAATAACCATTGAACTTTAGACCAAATTAAAACTTAAATCGAAATGTTATACATTGTGGGAGAAAATTAATATTGAACATAGATACTTTAAAAAAAAAGTAACTCTTTTCAATGGATAATTCATGTTTTTTTTTCAAAATGACATGATTTAGTATTTGATCTATCTAGGTGGCTATGATATGCCTGACGTTACCTCAACATAGCTGTCAAATCAATTTAACTTTAACAATTAATTATCATTCTATGTCAGTTGAAACGAAAAAAAGTATCAGAAATTTGCCGAAAATGCAAACTTATCCTACATCAGAAAGAATTGATATGATTCTATTAGTTTGTGAATGCAGTGTGCATTCACCAATTAATAGAATACCTAAATGCTCCTGATTTTATATAGTCTGGGATTTTTTTATGGGGATATGTTAAAGACAGTGTTTAAAAAACTCGACCAACTATTCTCGACAACATGAGAGAAATAATTGTAGCTGCTTTTCGAAGTAGAACTCCACATATGCCTTTTAAAATGAAAAGATCCTTATGAAAAAACAACCATTTTAGGCAGTAAACAGGAAAAGGAGCATTTTGAGCATTTGATTTCATCTAGTTAATTTTTGTCACACAATTATAGGTTTTTATCTAGTTTTAATTATCTAATAATTAAGATACGTCTGAATTAACAAAAGGCGAGACAAAAGATATATATCACAGCCACCCCATAGATTTTTTCGAATAATAAAGATCTACTGACGCAAAATCATAAAAATTAAAATATCTAGGAAAATCTTTGTCTAAGGGGTAGACAACATTAATAATATTTTGAAGATATATCAATTCCCTATTAACCACCGGAATAATATATTAGGTGTTCCATTTAAAGTAAAGAAGTAACTTGCTTTTAAAAGTGACTAATGTTTCATATTAATTTTGTCTCACCCTGCATAACTTTTCGGGTCAAATTTTAATTTGGTTTAACATACAATGGCTACTGCAATTAAATATCAGGCTATACAAGGTCAACTAAAATTGAGGTAGCTGTTATTGAAATTTAAAATTTACTCTTCATTTTCACAAAATGTGAAATATGTCAAAATCCTTACATTTTAGGTATATGCTTCTTTAATAAAGCTCACCTTTATTTTTTTCCTAGAATCGAAAAATCAATTAATATATAGGGTGATCCATTAGAAAAAACACAACTCTGATGTGTAACTTTTTTTGGGGACATCCTGTATAACTCCATATATTTTTCTAAAATGCTTTCAATTAACCTGAATATGCTGCCAAAATTTCATTTCTATAATATAAACTACCGTTCTCTTTGGAGCCTCCGCGTCGTATGAGAGGCACCACCCTGTACAAGAAAATAAGTTCATTGATATTAACTTCAGTCTAAGTGACTCGAAATATAAGAGAATAGAAGGAGAATATGAATATGTTGTTTTTCGTGGAAAGATTCTTTGCGATATATTTGTTCTGGTCCTCCGTCGTTAGTGGTAATTTAGAGGATCAAAAGGCTATTGATAAAAGGGATAAGGGATCGTTGGGAGATCTGACCGAAAGCAATTTTTCGAATCTAACCTCAAAGTGTTCGGACGAGGCCGAGGCTAGGATCAGGATTTGCGACGGGACGGCCGGCGATGGTTGCCAGATAAAAATCTGCGGAGATTTGGGGTAAGCAAAAGGTTTTCATATTTTTATAGCCGGCTATCTTGGAGGAGAAAAAATAGAATATAAATTCTAATAAGAAAGAAAAGAATTGGGCATACTCCCTGTCCTTTTTTGCTAAGAAAAAAAAACAAAGTAAGTAATTTTCTTAGTTCTAATAAATTCAAATATATATATTTATATTACAGTAAAAGTTGGAAATTAGTAATTGTTAACATTATTACTAGTGAAAGCTCACATTCACTGATTTGTTAAGACTACGCTGGTAAAAGTTCAACAGCTATTTTTGAAACCAACGTTCACTAGTGAATGCTAGCATTCCCTGGATGATAGCAGTGAGTTTGAAAGATTAAGTTAGCGCGGTTGCCACAAAAAACCTAGTGAATATGAATTTATTAAATGTTTTGATATGCTTGAAGTAACGGGTTTGAATGATGGGCACCAAAACTGTAGCTGTTAAAACAACGCAAAGAACTCCACAAGGTGGAGTAACCTCCCCTTTGCTGTGGAGCTTGGTGGTGGATGAACTACTAGATGAATTAACTCTAGCGGGAATACACTGCATTGGGTATGCAGATGACATAGTCATGATCACTCGGGGGAAACATGAAGGCACCTTGTGTGATATTATCCAAAGAGGACTCCGTATCACTGAGAGATGGTGTAGGACTGTCGGGCTGAGTATCAACTCAGACAAAACCGCGATAGTGCCATTCACCAGAAGGCGAAGTCTGAAAAACTTGAAAAGAATCCAACTAGATGGAAAGGAAATACTGCCAAAACAGGAAGTTAAATACCTGGGAATAACCCTGGACAGTAAACTCCTGTGGAACAGGCATATTAAGAACACTACCAGCAAAGCCATAAAGGCTCTCATGATATGCAGAAGACTGGCCGGAAATAGATGGGGCTGCTCCCCTAACATTTTGCGCTGGATGTATACCATGATAGTAAGACCCATGATTACTTATGGAGCAGTTGCCTGGTACACAAAACTAGAGCAACGGACGGCAAGGCTAAACATATGCAAAGTCCAGAGACTAGCATGCGTTTGCATCACAGGAGCCATGAGAACCTGTCCAACAGCAGCAATGGAGGTCATTCTAGATCTAACACCACTGCACATTGTCATTGCATATATGCCAATGCGACAATGATTAGAATGGTCACTAACGGAATTAGTACTGGGAGAATTGTCAGATCAGGGGCTTGGAACACCCTCATAAAGGAAATACCACTCCTGCAACTCCCAGTGGACGATATGCCAAGAACCTACAACTTTGAGAAACATCTCAATGTAGTATTGGGCAATAAAAAGGATTGGAAGAGCAAAACGCTTGCCCAGCAGTTAAAAGACCATACCATAACTTGGTATACTGATGCTTCCTAAACCAATACGGGAACAGGGATCGGAGTGTTTGGGCCGAGAGCTAAATACTCCGAACCAATGGGCACTTACCCTAGTATCCTACAGGCAGAAATCTACGCTATCGAAAGATGCGTACAACTTATATTAGATAGGAACTATCCGAAACAAGAAATAGCCATCTTGTCTGATAGCCAAGTAGCGTTAAAAGCGATCAACTCAGTATCAATCAATTCGAAATTGGTCAAAGAATGCATAGAGAAGCTGAATAAATTAGGCAAAGAAAACAAAGTCCTCCTAATCTGGGTGCCTGCTCACCAAGGGATAGAAGGCAATGAAAAGCAAATAATCTAGCTAGGAAAGGAGCGAACACTCCACTAACTGGACCAGAACCGTTCTGCTTTCCAAGTGGTAACCAACTCAAGGCGGAACTCAAGAACTTGGAAGATTCCATCCGCAACCTGGAATGGAAATCTTGCAATGGTCTAAGACACTCGAAGAAGTTTCTGAGGGCTTATGATCAAGAAAATCACAGATCTTCCTGGGTCTGAGTAAGAACAATCTTCGGATTGTCACGGGTTTTTAACAGGACACTGTCTCCTCAATGAACACCTCAGTAGATTGAAACTAAGAAGAAACGGCGAATGCAGATTCTGTGGGGAAGATGGTGAAACACCAGTACACCTCATCACTGAGTGCGCCGAGACGACAACCATTCGTGCCATGAATTTTGGTACAACTGATATTGGAGATGGAGAACTACCCTCTATAAAACCGTCCCAGATACTGGCTTTTGTCAAAGCCCTGGGACTGTGTGATGAGTTGTGATTCAGGAAAGGGGGACACAATGGATCTGTAAGGTCGGAGTGATTAACCCCCCTCCCACTCATTCTAAAAAAAAATTCTAACCTTTAGTAAATGTTACTTTCACTAGTGAATGTTAGAAATTGCTAGGAAAAGTCGACAGATCTTTTTATAATACCTCATTCACTGGTCCAATGCGTAATTATTAGCATCTCCTAGTGAATGTTAACAATCACTGAATTTCCGACTTTCACTGTAACATATACAATTATACAATCATAAAGCCGTCATATTTAATTGTTCTTTAATACAAAATGTGAGTGTTTGTGTTTTATTGGACTTCAATTTTATCAATTAATATAAATTTCAAATTTCTGTAAATTTAAAGACTTTTTTTATAATTATTTAATATACAGGGTGAGTCTGAAATAAGTGGAAATATTTTCAGGGCTGACAGATCTCGATAAGAGAAACATATTTTCTCTTTACCGTTTTTTAAATAAGTTCAAAATAACCGAGATACTTTACATTGGAAATAAAAAAAAATTGATTTTTTGTCTAAATTTTAAGATCCACTGGATCTTTTTCTGTGTTTTCTTTCTTGTAAATTTAATTTACTATCTATGTTTCCATATTATAAAGATATGTTTTTTACTAAAAATTTATAAAAAATTTCAAAAAATTCTAAAATTCAATCTAGAATGCCACTTTATCTAATGAAGAAAACATTCAACCAATGTGTACTACCAGTCATGACCTATGCATGCGGAGCCTCAACTCTTAAAACAGACTTCTTCTTAAGGTGCCATGTCAGATTCCTGCGTAGGCGTTCATCTATTTTCCACCTCAGATGGTTCTATTTATTGCAGCGACTTGGAGTCCTGTATGCCTGTCCAATGATGAATATTTCTCAGCCAGAATAGCTTCCTTCGGGCTATTCCCCTTTTGCCCCCCTCGATTTTACCCTGGAGAATTAATTAGACGCTGAAAGTGATAGCGTTTTCCTCGTAGTATGTGTCCCAAATAGTCTATATTTTCTTCTTCTTGATGATTTCGAAGAGTTCACGTTCTTCTAGTCCAGCTCTTCAGAGAATGTCTTCATTCCTCACACCTTCGACCCAGGACACTCACAGCATTCGTCGTAGGTCCACATTTCGATTTTTTTTTAAAACGGACATTACAAGGAAACTGCAGGTCGCACAACGCTCAATGAAGCGAAATATGACGGGAATAACAAACAGAGGCCGTAAAACAATAGAGTGGATACGACAAAAGCCCAATTAATAAATCTCATCCAAAGAATCAAATCCCTCATCTAGCAGTGGACAAGACACAAAAATTACAGCATAGTACCGACGAGAAATTAAGATATCTAGAAGAATACCAAACCTGGGATGGGACCATGATATTAGGAAATTAGTAGGGATAACAATAGACAACAATGGACCCAACTTCAAGGAGAGTATCTAAATCTGTGAGGGAAACTACACCATAATTGGAAATAGTTGAATAAGCTGAGAATGATGATGATGATATTGATAAGGATTTAGTTAAATTTTTTATATAAATTATTTTATTAACGGATTTTTTTAATTAATGAACACATTGAATCTTAAGAAACATGTTTTTAACACGTGTGATGCCATTTTCAATGGATTTTCTAGTTCTATTTTTACGAACTATGGGTAACTATGTATATTTTTTCCTATTGCTCTTCCTCTAAGAAACATTCCCTATAACTACTATTATTTTTATATAAACCAAATAAAATTAGAAACTCACCTCCAAATTATTTTCTAACGCCTTTTCCCAGTTTTCAAATTTTTCTATTTAATCTGCTTGGTAGCTCGAATCGTTTAAAATAAATGCAAAGAGCATCCCGTCCCTTTTTACAGTTTTCACGATACTCTAATTACCTAATTATTTTCTCCGAGAAGTTTTCCCTTTAAGGAAATCCCCGTCAAAAGGAAAATTGCAAAAAGAGATGTCAAAAACTAAAAAAAAAACTTGTTGACGCTGATTTCAAAGTGTCACTACTACTTTCTTTTATACATGGCTGTTATTTTAGAAGATTCTCGTTTGCGCTTCATCTTTTCAATCTCACCTCTCTAATTAAAATAAACAAACTCCTTATAGCCAAAGTTAAATCAAAATAACGTCCTGAATAGCTTCCTGTTCTTTTTTGTTAGAATTATACAGGCAAAAATATTCTGGGCAACGTGAATTTTATTAATATAAATAAGATTTGAGCCGTTGAAAACCAGAGTGGTCTAAATCAATTTTTTGGATATTCTAATTTCAATATATTACGATTCCTGATGTAGTTTTCTATTTACTCACGAGGTTTTAAAAATGTTAGTCTATAAAAACATCCATATGTCTCACTCAAAATTGTAACCGTAAGGACGCAACGAGTTACATCAGAAAGCCAGAGTGGTACAAGTCAGACTTAACCACATGTTAACCACTCTGTCATTTTGTTAGTATATTTCTTACGGCATAAAGTGATTGACAGAACTAATTTTACTTCAGAAAGTTGAGTGGATAAGGCAGTTAGTCATAAAAAATTAATTTGAATAAAAGGTTTTGCCCCGAAAAGTGCCTTAGCCCGAAATACAATGGGCTATGGCTAACCATCTAATTGCTAATCAAGTCAAAAAATTCAAAAATAATAAACAGACAAAAAATACCATCTACTTTTATGCGAAAATTTAAGTTGGTCCCCTTTTGTTACAATACCAAAGTTTCAATGTCAATATCTCATGTGGGTATTTTACAGTAAGCCGTTAACTTTGAAGTTAACTCTTTCTCTCTATCTATCTATATATCTATCTATATTTCTCTTCTTCTACTTATTTGAGAAATGTCAATCTGTTAATGAGTCACTATCTTCCCATTAAAAAAACTATGTGCGCATATTTGAAGTTAATTAATTTGGGTACCTCTATCCACGTACCGAGTTTTGTTCCAATCGACCCATAATTAAGAAAAGTCCTGACGATTTCGTCCATTTAGAGGCATCCTCGGTTCGAAACGTCGCACAGTGGGGTATTTGACACAGATAGTTGATCGAAATTTTTTTATGTACACCTTATATAAATTATTGCTATTTTCAATTAAAGAGGAAATAATATGAACAAAATAATGGATAATTTGTCGATTCTAAAAAAAGAAAGAAAAATCACTGTTCCAGTGTTTCCACGGTCAATGCCCCTAATGCCAGTAGTAATATCGCAACTAATACTATTAATGCTAAGACTGATCCGCGAGCAATGCCCATACCACTAAAGTCGCTACTAATGCCAAATTGTGCTATACTGCTAATGGCACTAATGTGATCGCTTTGTACACAACAATGCCATCGCGGTTTACACCTCGCATTAGTATATCACTGATTGGCAAATTAGAGGAAACCAAGAATGTTTTTCTCATTTTATCAGCAAAGTCGCAAAAAGTCGCAGTATTTTATTTTACTGTATGAAAGTTCAATGTTTACTAAGTAAAACGTATATAGACAATATGCTGAATTCTTCGAAATGCTCAACTAAATATCTAAGTATAATAAAAATGTCACAAATTTAATCAAATTTTCTGAACGCCTAACTTTTAGTTGCAAAAAAAAATCGTTAGTATAGAGAATATCAAAATAAATAATAAGTTTTTGTAGAATACATACCTGCAGCTTGCTGAGCCATTTTCAATCAAAACAATAATATATACGTAAAAAGAGCAGAAGAACAACAACAATTTATTATTTTAAAACATAATTCTAACATTTTAAACATAAAATTTAGCCATTTACCTCTTATCTGTGAGAAGTAACAACTTTGACGTTTCGTTGAAACAAATGAATGCAACTAAACACACCCATAGCAACGCCATTCATGGCAGACATGATTTAACTTATCATTTATCTTTTTTTGGGAAATCTTAAACACATTTGCATTTTCGAATTTTGATCACCTTTTTCATGCTAATACCCCACCGTGCGTCGAGGGCGTCAACCTGTATCGAAAAATCGACCCACATTTTTCTTCAATATCAAATCATTAGTCCCACTCTGATGAAGATGTAAACGAAACGTCGTATCCAATTTTGCAGGGTGGGACCAAATTTGGTAGCGATCGGACGACATAAATTTTGACGTTACTTACGTCAAAATTAACTATCACAGTGACACGTGTCGTACACGGTTAAGTTGGCCTTGGCGCAATCTATATACCAAATTTGATTTAAATCGGACGATTTTTTAATTTGATTCATTGATGATGGTGTTTCGTAGGGCACGAAACGTCGTCAAAATATCATCGAGACCCCTCTACGTGTTTCAGCTCCCTAGCTCACTTAGGGCCCGAGTTACAACGCTCCAAGATCGTTACCACTTTTCCTCTCGCGTCTCGTGTGTCACGGCCATCAGTTTTTACTCCCATCGCGCGTAAAGAAATTTTACTTCCAAAAAAGAGTTGTGATTATAAATTCTTCTTTACGTGCGTTGGGAGTAAAAATTCAAGGCCGTGACACACGAGCTAGCGTCAGGAAAAGTGGTAACGGTAGTGTTGCCATAGCTACCCCATTCGGGCTAGATCTACCCCTTTGTGAAACAATTTAACTCGCTCTGGGTAACAATCTGTGCCATACGCGGCTAAGAAAATCACTATAATAAAGTTGATTCTGTACCTGTGTACCAATATCCTATAGTTGTGTGCTAGGAAGTAAATATTCATGGATATTTTCATCGATAGCTTCTGAGTAACGGTCTAGGTAAAGCATCTAACTCATTTGCTAGCTCAGAATTAGAATTATTAGAGTTAAACAACTCGCATTTTCCATTGGAGGACATCGTCATATTTACTTCAATCCGATAATCATCGAGAATATTCGTATAAATTAAGAAAATTACTGTAAATCACTATAAATACGAATTGTTGGTTAGGCTCAAATTTTTTTTATTTTCTTAAATAAATTTAAGCGTTAACGTTATTAGGCATTTGCATGAAAGTGTGTATTTTGGGTGGTATTCCACAAAATTTCCAGGCTATTAAGGAAACAGAAAATGTACAGATTACAGAAATAAATTTTTTGAAACATGTCTTTTTCAATAAATTTTTTTTCTAAAAAAATCAAAACTTATAGGGGTGAACCACTATTGAAAACACCTGGTATAGAGAATTCAAAAATATCCAATATAGATTAATACCACTTGCAAGTTGTTTCAGCAAGATGTAATTTAAAGATGTTTTTGGCTGGGGTATATTCCAGAGCAGGGTTCCTCACTTCCGACTGTTTTAAATAAATGACAATTTTGTTATCGGCAAATCCTGAACTAAATGTCCTCGAGGCATTACAAATGGATCTCGTATAGCCATCTGGAGATATATAGGGTCAACGGCATCATATATAATTTTATGTGTATTTTGTATTGTATATTGTTTTGTTTAAACGTTTATCTGGGCTTAAAGCTATGCTTTTTAAAATAATAAAGAGAATTCTCAATTGTTAAGAAAATTTAAAAAATAATAAAAACATTTTTTTATTATTTTAAACCAAATAAAGTTTCTAAAAAGTGTCTTTAGGTAAAATAAATTGATTTTTTGTTTATCAGTATAATTTTCTGTTTATCAATATAACTTTAGAGACTACCTAAGTACTTAGCCCTCTAAAATTAGAAGTGCAATTTTTTGGAAAAATTCAAACTAAGTATAATAACTTATAAATTTTAAGATTTTGATACGTTTCAGCGTCGAAAATAGCAGTTATACAGGGTGAATCTTAAATAAGTGCAAATATTTTCAGGGCTGGTAGATCTTGATAAAAGAAACATCTTTCTTCACCGTTTTTCAAATAAGTCCAAAATAACCGGGTTATTTTACTTTGAAAATTTTCAAAAAAATCTTAAATTTAATCTACTACCTATGTTGCCATATTATCAAGAAATTAGGTAAATATGAATTATGAAACTAAAAAAATGTTTTTTTCGAGAAAACCCTACATAATCGCGTTTCTCGGGTCAAAATATACTACCCCTAAATATATTCGCACTTATTTAAGACTCACCCCAAACTGTAAAATAAATGAAGGGGATCAAATTTTGCTAAAATTTCGCAATTTAATGAAATGATATTATAAAATAAAAAAAATGGGTAAAACAATATTGTAAAATAGTTTACTTCTTTTCTAGCATTATTGGAAAAGATAATATTTTTAAATAAATTTAATTTAATCATTGTTATATTCTTTATAAGATAGTACTATTAAATGTCAAATACGAGATACCATCATCAATTTTATTTTCCAAAAATTATTAGTTCCAAAATTGCGCAGATTTTCAATTATTTATACCATATCCTAACCTAACCTAACCTAACCTCTCTCCTATATACAGGGTGTTTCAAAACAAATGCGAAAAACTTCAGGGGGTGATTCCTTGTTCAAAATAAAGGGTAGTTTACTTTATAAACCTTGAGTCAAAAGTCAACCATTAGGGAGATATCGCGGTACAAAGATGGCGGAAAAATAATGTTTTTATTTTTTATCTTGAAAACGAAAAGAGATAGACTAATGAAATTTTATGGAAGCATTACTGTTATGAAAACACACTTTCTGGTAATTTTTTCACTTTTTTAAAATGAGTGGAAGGGGTTGAAATAAACTACCCCTATCATTCTTGTTAATGAAATTTATAGAAAAATCTTATCAAACACATGCAAAAAAATTAATTGTGATAGTTTAGTTTATTTAGAAACTTTTTTATCTCTTGTGTTTTTTTGATAAAACTCACCGATTTGAAATTAAAAAATAAAATGTAAAGCATTACATGTCAGGACAAAAAACATTTTTAGATAAAGAATCTAGTGGGCAGCTGTAATTTTTTTAGGAAAAAATCTAGTCGGCCGCTGTCACTTTTTAGGATGTTTCTAACATTGTTTTATTTGACATTACCCTACTGCAATACGTTATTATCTAGATTATTATTATTATCATTATTATCACTAGATTCTTAATCTAAAAATATTTTTAGTCCTGACATGTAATGCTTTACATTTTATTTTTTAATTTCAAATCGGTGAGTTTTATAAAAAAAATACAAGAGATAAAAAAGTTTCCAAACAAACTAAACTATCGAAATTAATTTTTTTGCATGTGTTGATAAGATTTTTCTTTAAATTTCGTTAACACGAATGATAGGGGTAGTTTATTTCAACCCCTTCCACTCATTTTAAAAAAGTGAAAAAATTACCAGAAAGTGTGTTTTCATAACAGTAATGCTTCCATAAAATTTCATTAGTCTATCTCTTTTCGTTTTCAAGATAAAAAAAATAAGAACATTATTTTTCCGCCATCTTTGTATCGCGATATCTCCCTAATGGTTGACTTTTGACCCAACGTTTATGAAGAAAACTACCCTTTATTTTGAACAAGGAATCACCCCCTGAAGTTTTTCGCATTTGTTTTGAAACACCCTGTATATACCTCTTATGATTTTCTAGATCCCAGTGGCAACCTTCAAATTTGAGACATCCTGTATATAGCATTGTTAACTAAATAACTTAAATTTTAATTATCGTAATATTTTATTACGATATATATTTTATTATTTCACGAAAAAGTATTTACAATATCAAAAATTGCAATTATATTATCAGTATATTATAATTTATTTTTATCAACTCGAAGCATCTTCACCACTAACTCAGCTGCATGTTGACCACACCCGACTGATAAACTAAGACCAGATCCACCATGACCATAATTATGAACTACTTTCAGTGTCTTTCCATCGGGAGTCTTGAGAAATTCTTCTTCTAGCCTTACTTTGCTACGGTAAGGTCTGAGACCCACAACATTTTTAACCACTTCTGCGTCTTTTAATGAAGGAATAAACCGATTGAGATGGTTTAGGAATCTGTCACTGTCTGCGTCACTTAGAGTGGTATCGAAGCTTTTCTGTTTGGTTCCTCCTAAAATATAACATACATAAGTACATACAGGGTCGCTTTGATGTATGGAAACGGTCGATTATTAGGTAAAATATAGGAGGTACCGCAAAAAGTTAAATGCAAAAGTTATAGGATCTTTAAATATCTATTAGTAAATAATAAATTTAAGTATACGAGGGCGGTCATAAGGTCGTGGCGCATAAAAGTTTCATTTTTTTAAACAAAACTCCCTGTATATTATTGCATATTTTAATTCTTCCTTGAATTCTAAGCAAAAATCTAAATACACACAATGTACCTTAAACCAACCGTTTCCGAGTTATTGACTTTTGAAAATATCACTTAAACAATTTGATTTAATTAATTTCGATATGTTCAGTTTCATTTAACGATGCTATTCTGCCGAAACTGTGTGTCTTAATAATATTTGAAATTAGTTCTCAAGTTAGCATTTATAGATGTATAAAATAAGATTATATCAAGCCTGGAAATTACAAAATTTTCGTTTAACATTTCAATTCTTCAATTTATGTAGATTGTGTATTACGATTATTGCTTAAAATTGAAAAAAGAATTGAAATATGCAATAATATACAGGGGGTTTTGTTTAAAAATGTTTAAATTTGATATGCCACATCTTTATGACCAACCCTGTATACTTAAAATTACTAGTAGCTAATAGGGATTTAAAAACCCTTTACAACTATCACAGATTCGGCAGAATGGCATCATTAAATGAAACTGAACATATCTAAATGAATTAAATCAAATCGTTTAAGTTTAAACGTAACTACCTCGGAAACGGTACTACTCGAGGTACATTGTGTGTATTTCGATTTTTACTTAGAATTGAAGGGAAGAATTGAAATATGCAATAATATACAGAGGGTTCTATTTAAAAAAATAAAACCTTGATGTGCCACGACTTTATGACCGACCCTGTATATATAAATTCATTACTCGCAAATAGACATTTTAAAACCGTATAATTTTTGTATTTAACTTTTTGGAGTACCTTGCCTGCTTTTGGAGTACCTAATAATCGATCGTTTCCATACATAACAGCGACCCTGTATAAATTCTTATTTAAGTGAATAAAGTATATAGTCTTAATATATCCCTAATTATCAAATCTTATAGCCTCTATTATCTTAGTTTAATAACTCTTGCTTTCTATAAAGTCTAATAAGTCTGTAACAACTTGTTTACAGAGTAATCAAACATTAGTTTTGCCTCTGTAGTTAAATACTTTGAACGTTTGAATACCTTAGAATATCCTTGACAAAACTTTATTTACTAGAATATTCATCTCGAAAAAAAAACTGAAAAAGGTCAAAATCAATAAATATATAGTAATAGGAAAACCTAGCTTATCTATTAAGATTTTTAGATTTCTTTGGTGGCCTAAGATCACCCAGTGAGCAAAGTTTTGTCACATTTAGGGAATATTAGGGAACAGTTACGTATCTGCGTTTTACTGCTTTATATCAGGCATAAGAAGGGCCTGGTAACGTAACAACGACGTCACCTAGAACACATTTCCCTTAAAGGAATAAAATGCTCACTGGGCAAGCAAACAAAATCAAACGTCTTAGTTACTGCATATGCTGATCTTGGGAATAATGAAAATATAATATAACCAGAAGTGCAGTAATCTCTCTGGATAAGGGAAACAGACCATCCAATGGAAAAACAAACAGGGGAACTAATTCTAAAACCAAAAGAGAACTGCTGACGCTCAGCAGGAAAAAAGTGTGACTTACAAAAGGTCTTTTGACGGGACATATGGATGTCCAGTGCTATAGACTGTGAAACGAATAACTTTGAATTTGACAGTTCCCGCGGGCTTTTCTAGTGTTAATTTTATTAGGTTAGCAACTTGCGGCCATGCTGACGCAATGCCGTCTCTAATAGAACAGCCTCGAGGGAGATTTTTGACGTCAGACTATTTAGATACTACGGATTAATAAATATGATTTAGAATACATGGAAAACATAATTATTCCTCGTATTTTTGGTTTGTTTTTTAAAAATGATATAGTTTACATGAAATATACATAATATACAGTTAATAAATACAATATATATACAAGGTGTTTCAAAACAAATGCGAAAAACTTCAGGGGGTGATTCCTTGTTCAAAATAAAGGGTAGTTTGCTTTATAAACGTTGGGTCAAAAGTCAACCATTAGGGAGATATCGCGGTACAAAGATGGCGGAAAAATAATGTTTTTATTTTTTACCTTGAAAACGAAAAGAGATAGACTAATGAAATTTTACGGAAGCATTACTGTTATGAAAACACACTTTCTGGTAATTTTTCACTTTTTAAAATGAGTGGAAGGGGTTGAAATAAACTACTCCTATCATTCTTGTTAATGAAATTTAAAGAAAAATCTTATCAAACACATGCAAAAAAATTAATTTTGATAGTTTAGTTTATTTAGAAACTTTTTTATCTCTTGTGTTTTTTTGATAAAACTAACCGATTTGAAATTAAAAAATAAAATGTAAAGCATTACATGTCAGGACAAAAACATTTTTAGATAAAGAATCTAGTGGGCAGCTATGATTTTTTAGGAAAAATCTAGTCGGCCGCTGTCACTTTTAGGATGTTTCTAATATTGTTTTATTTGACATTACCCTACTGCAATACGTTATTATCTAGATTATTATTATTATCATTATTATCACTAGATTCTTAATCTAAAAATATTTTTAGTCCTGACATGTAATGCTTTACATTTTATTTTTTAATTTCAAATCGGTGAGTTTTATAAAAAAAATACAAGAGATAAAAAAGTTTCTAAACAAACTAAACTATCCAAATTTATTTTTTTACATGTGTTTGATAAGATTTTTCTTTAAATTTCGTTAACAAGAATGATAGGGGTCGTTTATTTCAACCCCCTTCACTCATTTTAAAAAAGTGAAAAAAATTACCAGAAAGTGTGTTTTCATAACAGTAATGCTTTCATAAAATTTCATTAGTCTATCTCTTTTCGTTTTCAATATAAAAAATAAGAACATTATTTTTCCGCCATCTTTGTACCGCGATATCTCCCTAATGGTTGACTTTTAACCCAACGTTTATGAAAACAAACTACCCTTTATTTGGAACAAGGAATCACCCCGAAGTTTTTCGCATTTGTTTTGAAACACCCTGTATACCTATTTATAATAATGAATAGGTATGCCTACAAATAATGAATAGGTACATAAGATAAGGGGTAAAATGTAAAATATATTTAAAATTTTGGGGTTTGAAAATCGATCTAATTTAACAAAAACATTCAATATCTACAAATAGTGATGTATTTTATTTGCATTCACAAAATTTATCCTAAGAAAATCAAAAATTTTTGAATAATTTTACATATAAAATAACAGCGATCTTTATTTCATGGCCATCACTGACGCCTTTTTTTCTATGATATTGTATTATTTGCAAATATAATTTTTCGAACATTGATACTTGTAAAATATACATATAAATTTTGTGAATGCAAATAATAATACATCACTATTAGTAGATATTGAATGTTTTTTGGTAGATTAGATCGACAACCCCAAAATTTAAAATATATTTTACATTTTACCCATTATCTTATGTACCTATTCATTATTTGTATATTGTAAAACATTTGCTGCATTTGTGTGGTTCATAGTTTATTTGCCAAAGTATTTATTACTATAAATAGGTATATATATTGTATTTATTAACTGTATATTACGTATATTTCATGTAAACTATATCATTTTAAAAATACAAACCAAAAATACAAGGAATAATTATGTTTTCCATGTATTCTACAACATATTTATCAATCTGTAGTATCTAACTAGCGTGACGTCATAAATCTCGCCCCGAGGCTGTTCTATTGGAGACGGCATTGGTTTGATATTTAGAAATGTCAAAAGCTGATGACATTTTACCTTTAGAATTATGACATTTTGTGTTGATTTTTGCAAGAAGAGGAAGAACTGTCACTTGTTTTATTCTTTTCCTTTTCTATTTCACGAAAGTAAAAAGAGTTACCTATCTGATTCGTTCAGGCACTCAATTTAAAGAAAATTTAAAGAATATCAGTAACTTTTTTGATAGAGGGATTTTATATTTGCCATGTTGGTAAAAAATAACGATCAAAATTCAAAGTTATTCATTTTATAGACTATACCTGAATTAACTCAACCTGCCTCAAGGAAGTAATATGTCACCCCAAGGCTCTGGATCGCAAGCAGCACTTTCAGTTTCGGAAAGCAAGGAAAGAACAGGTGGAACGATGCTTCTATTCTATAAGTACAAGGCGCAGGCATATGAGACTGCTTACAGACATAGATAATGGGGAAAAACACGATGGTCCTTAGAGTTCGCAGTGTTTCTGGCTTAGGATGGCCCATAATATTCAAAAAAATGTCTTTTGTAGCAAAATAAAAACACTAAATCACCACAATACACCAAAACACTTTTACTTTTACACTGGACGCGCGTTTCGCTAACAATGTTAGCATCATCAGCAGATGATTATAAACTGAGTTTATAATCATCTGCTGATGATGCTAACATTGTTAGCGAAACGCGCGTCCAGTGTAAAAGTAAAAGTGTTTTGGTGTATTGTGGTGATTTAGTGTTTTTATTTTGCTGTGTAACACCAAAGGTTCCAACCCTCAACTGTAGTCTTTTGTAGTAATGAAGGCCTTAGCTTCTCAGTAGCTCAATAATAAATGTACCTCTAGATCTAAACACAATCCACTTACCTAAAACAACAGAATGAGTATTAGCAATGATATAACAAGATCCTTCATTTTTATGATCTATAAGAAAACTACTATACTGCCATGGAGCTTTAACTCGTCTAATCTGTCCTCTAATAGGCGTTACGTCCAAATCATTTAATAAATCTCTTGATGCCAATCCAGTACAGTTTACGATAACATCATAATTACTTAGTTCGTTAAAATGTTCTATGCGTCTCTGTACTGTTTTACCTCCATTCTCTGAAAAAATTTTCTACACAAATAAAATACAATATGACCATAGAAAAATATAACTGCTATAGGATTTTGGAAGTGACAGATAAAGGATGAATCATTTCGAGCAACTACTGTTCTTGTTCCAAGGAGCATAGTTAATTTTATTTTTATAGAAATTATTAAATATTATTTATATTTGGCGTTACACAGCAACTTCAACAGCAAAATAAAACACTAATTCACCACAATTAATACACCAAAATACTTTACTTTTGAAGATTTTTGGAGCAGTTAAAATTTCAAAACTCTATTATAACTCTAATATATATATTCTCTAATATGTAATGAATAGATATAGTTTATACTAAATAAACTTTTAGTCACGTGATTAAGCTGGACCGGCACAGCTCTGCCCACTTCTACATATTTTCTTTTAATCAAAATATTTAGGAAACAAAAATAAATTAATTATAAACATATAAACAGTTATCTCACCTCCTTAGCAGAACTTAAGGGACATAAAGGACTATGACTACCGATTTTCCGTTCAAAATATTCTAATAAAGTTGCGATGAGTTTTTTTACGGCTATTAAGCCATCTTGTACATTTCGCACTAAAAGAGGTTCTAAAAGAACAATGTTCGACTGCAAGGTCTGCTAAAAACTCGTTATACAAAACTAAAGTGTCAAAACGAATGACAATGTCAGGAAATAAATAAATAAATGTGGCAACTAGACATTTTTTACAGCAGAACTACCACCTGAATACCCAGCGCGAAATTTAAATTCCAATTAGTCAACCCGACGTCGAATATGTCCATGGTTGGCAACAATGAATTTAAAAATCGCACCCTCGACTATGTAACTAAAAGTTTAATTGATATCAAATATATGTCTTTAAAAAATACTTTGATCTAAAAACCTGCAAAAAACTGTCATCTTCCCGTATCTTAATTTTTAAATTTGGTGTTTTGTTTGTTTGGATATAAAGGTCTATTTGAAAGACCAAATATATTTTACATTTTAACTGTGTTTTTAAAATTGGTTATTGTGATAATTTTGTTAATATTTGATTTTATCTATCCATATATATATATATATATATATATATATATATATATATATATATATATATATATATATAAACAAAGGAAGTTATCGTGGAAACTATAAAAAAACGAAGAAAGAAATTTATTGGGCAAGTCCACAGAAAGATTAGTCATATACATATACATACATACATATATATATATATATATATATATATATATATATATATATATATATATATATATATATATATATATATATATATATATATAAACAAAGGAAGTTATCGTGGAAACTATAAAAAAACGAAGAAAGAAATTTATTGGGCAAGTCCACAGAAAGATTAGTCATATACATACATACATATATATATATATATATATATATATTTATTAAATCGACGGAGTCAGACCCGGTACGTTGAAGATAGGCCGTCAGACCCGGGGTATATCGGACGAAAAATGTTCAAGCGATGCTTTCAGGCCCTGATGCTGGACCGTTTAATTTGTCCCATTTATATAAAAAATAGAGGTTTATTCGTTTTCGCCAGACCCACGACGTTGCCGCTTTTAATTCTCAAATATTTATATTAGAATTAGACGAACGGACCTTTTGACGCGGTAATGGATCACAGTGCAGAAGTAAAAACGGTGCATTTCTGCTATAGTGAATATTATTGTACTTATTGTTAGTATTAGATATATTCTGTCTTATAAATGCATCTGTACGAAAGCGTTTTTATCTGAAATTTCATTGTAATAAGCATAATCAAGTTACAATGCATTATCAATTTCGTTTAGTAGATTTTATAAGTGTTTACTAAGTGATGATGGAACCCCGTTTATTATCTTTATACTTTAAAAGAAAATTCACAGTCCTTTACAAAGATGCAACCGGGGGGCATTGAAAATGATGAATAAAAACGTAAAAATATGATTAGTGTTAATATGAGTGTATTACATACATATGTTTAAATAACGAATGTTATGGATGAATGTTAAATAACGAAGTTTATGGCCCTCTTCTGTGACGGCTTTTTATGTCTTAATAATTATATATAGGGTGTTTTAGAACTCGAACCAAAGTCGAAATTTTGCAAAATCTCAAAAAAGAAAATCTCTCGAAAATAATAAATAGTAAAATGACATTTACCCTCTATGGATATACATATAGTAAAATGACATTTACCCCCTACCTATGGTCCCATATAAACTGTATACTAAAATAAATAGCTTTGACATATAATTGTCGTTTTTCTTGATATACTCCCCTGATTTTATTTTATTTTTCCAGAGCACTAATACTCTCTTTATGTTATTTTTTATTCCTAGAAGGATGATTTGAAGAAAAAATATTTCGTTCATATTATTGATGTCACTAAATAAACCCTTGTATAATATGTTATACTTCTAGATGTTATAGTAATGCATTTTCGTACAGCAAACTTTCATTCCCTATTCTACTCCCTAAGGGTACGAATTTCATAAATTCCTATGTCCAAATAATTAACTCATGTCTTTTAAATGATCCTTTGTGCAAATTTTTATGTGTATAATACAGAGGTCACGAAGGTTTATATAATTTTTTACTAACTTTACCCATTTGGTTGATGAATTTCAAAAATCTCTTCTTATTCTTCTTTCTGTAGAATTTCATTCTTCTAGTAAATGATTTTCATACAACAAATCGTTCGACATAATTTTACACTCTAAGAGGATGGATTTTCTAAAATCGCTTTGCATAACTAATTCACTAATCATTAATGTCCTGTAAACGAACCTTTGTGCTAATATTGATGTATCTAAAGCTGGTGGTATAAACTGACCCCTAAAATATCTAAAAACTTGATATATAATCTAACTGACACACCACTGACAATGACAAATAATTGATTTCTGGAGGTATTTTGTGGAGGTGTTTTTCAGGTATGTTTTAATATTTATTCGTTTTACATAAAGAAATACCGATTAAACGATATAATAATACTTCATAACAAATCTAGACATATATACCTTTCATTTAAAAAAAGAATCATCAAGATTGGTGAGGCGGTTTCGGCGGGATGGATGTAACAAAAAAACCCGTTGATCTTTTATATATGCATCCCACTTCGGTGTCACAAGCTGAATTTTTCAGGGAAGGAAGTACAAGTACGTGATATGGGGACCCTTATTCCAAAAGTAGTACAAAATTAGACCGGGAAAAGGGACACTATCATCAAAAATCGATATATTAATACCACCGTGTAGAGAAAACAAATACTTATTTTTTGATCCAGTACAAAATAAAGTCTTCGTTGGGAGTAATTTTTTATAATTATTTACAAAAAAAACATTTCCATTAGCGCTTATGACCGAAAAAAACTTTAAACATGAATAACTCATTTCAATCATGCGAAAATTTGTCCCACTTCGGTGTCACAAGCTGAATTTTTCAGGGAAGGAAGTACAAGTACGTGATATGGGGACCCTTATTCCAAAAGTAGTACAAAATTAGACCGGGAAAAAGAGCACTATCATCAAAAATCGATATATTAATACCACCGTGTAGAGAAAACAAATACTTATTTTTTGATCCAGTACAAAATAAAGTCTTCGTTGGGAGTAATTTTTTATAATTATTTACAAAAAAAACATTTCCATTAGCGCTTATGACCGAAAAAAACTTTAAACATAAATAACTCATTTCAATCATGCGAAAATTTGTCCCACTTCGGTGTCACAAGCTGAATTTTTCAGGGAAGGAAGTAGAAGTACGTGATATGGGGACCCTTATTCCAAAAGTAGTACAAAATTAGACCGGGAAAAAGAGCACTATCATCAAAAATCGATATATTAATACCACCGTGTAGAGAAAACAAATACTTATTTTTTGATCCAGTACAAAATAAAGTCTTCGTAGGGAGTAATTTTTTATAATTATTTACAAAAAAATTTCCATTAGCGCTTATGACCGAAAAAAACTTTAAACATGAATAACTCATTTCAATCATGCGAAAATTTGGTTTAAAAATGGACTTTTTTAAGTATAACTTTCATTTATCGAAAAACGAAGGCCTAAATGAAAAAAAGAAACAATTTATAAGTTTCGCTTATGTCTTGACAAGGTAACAAAGCAAACCCCATATTTTTTGCTTTTAAACTAATAAAGATATATCAATAAACAATTAGCGATGTCCGACTGCCGCCGCCGCGCCGAGATTTCCTATACGTATACGCGTGATGACGTCATGGTGTGGCAAATGTAGCATTTTAATTCGATTTGGGCTCCCTTATATAGGATAACAGAAACATTTTCCATGTTAAAAAAAGTTTAGCTACTTCTACAACGAAATCATAGCATCGAAATAAATTTTTAGATACTCGTACAATTTTTTGACACGACGATCGATTCCGACAAAAAAAAATTAGTTACTTCTACAATGATATCGTAGCATCGATATAAATATTTAGGTAGGTACTTGTACAATTTTTTGACACGACGATCGATTCCAACGACTGTCATTTCTAAGGTAATTTGACGCCGTGTTTTGGAATCATAGGGTATGTGTGTATTTATCATTAACCTTTTTTCTATTTTGTTATAAAGAATTATTTTAACTTATTTTTTTATTACATACAGATATGAGGGCGGCAATTTAAAAATTTGCACTGTGGGCAAGACGGGTAGAAAAAAGATGCTCATTTAGAATATTAAGAAATTCAGACAAAAAAATTAAAATAAGCATTCTTTAAAGATTGTTTCTACTAGTTTTATTTAAAAATATAAATAATATAAGGTCTAATCTGGCGAGTTGAGTTTGGATGAGACTGTAAACAAAATTTTTAAAAGTATAAATGTAGTAATTTAAATTTTCTGCGTCTGATAAAATTCATGTAGCAGTAAAGTAGGAAAAAAGTTTAGGTTTAAAAGCATTAATTTCTGGAAATTCCCTATTTGTAGAGGCTGGGAACCACCTACTTTTCTGGGAACCCCATATTTTCAAGT